TCGACATGCGTTGGGCACTGCTCCTTATTACTTTTTCCTGCGCTTATTGTGAGTTTTAGCGATTTTCTACGATTTTTTGTAAGCATACTCAGAGCATTTTATATAGTTTTGTGTGTAATCTAATTGGCGATAGATTTCTTAGTATTTACTTATTGAAACTCAGGAACTTCTACACTAACGAGAATATTGAAACTTCTTGAAGAGCTTGCTTTCCCTAGCTCTAAGTATTTAGAGAACTTTATTCTTATCTTCAAAACTTTCGAAAATGTATAAGTAATTCATCAAAACGACTTGTTTGGTAGAGATATCTTCCAGCAGATAGTCAATCAATCGTACAAACCCTTTTACTTCTGGAAACAAGCGCCCAGATGGTAAAACCACTTTTAATATAACGAGCAGTCCCTTCCAAAACTGCTTGAAGATGATCCCCATTTGAGTAAAATGAGAAAAAACGCTTTATTTTACGGCCTATTTACTTCTTCTCAAGCCAAAGATTTCTAAAGATGGAAGTGATAGAACATGAGTTTCATTTTGGAAATATTTTATAGCATTATATTTTAGACCTACTTGAACCCATTCACTTTTCAAAGCTGAAAATGAAAAATCGAAATTGAATTCTCGATGAAAAAATTAAATTTGAAGTTAGTCGAGCATAGTTTGCTTAATTGAAAGTTGATTTTGATGTTAATTTTTAAATAAAAGAAAAACTAGGATTTCCAGATTCTACTTCTACCCAGACCATTGTTTTATGTTGATTAAATGCACAAGTTTATAGAGCACAAGATTTTTGATCGAGAACATCACACGGAACTAAATCTTTTAGCCTATGTTTTCGAGTGTCTCGACAACTGTGAATGTGACACCGACGATGAAGTTGTGCACTGCCACAATGGAAATCGTAAAGAGCTACCGCTACCGACTGGTATAGATCGTTTTTCGAAGTTTACCCAAGGTAAACACTGATTCTCCTTTTCAGGACAACGTCTGCGCGGTTTCCCCGTAATTGGAATGACATACAATGATCTGCATCGTCTTCCCGACGAAGGCACATTGCTAACGAAGTTCCCTGACCTCAAGGTGCCATTATCGAAATCTTTAGAAGCGCAAATTGCAAAAATTGGACTTCCAGGTGGTCGACGTCGAGCGTAATCCAAATTTCGATTGCGATTCACTGAAGGAATACGACCGCGTCAAAATCGTGTCGGACTGCTATAAAAATATATCAGAAATTAGCAAAGTGCCAAGAATTTTCCGACCAACAAAGGTGTGT